TTTCACTACTAGAATCTTAAAAATCAAAGTGGTAAATAAAACATAGACATTAACTTTGATTTATCTATATAGAATAATGCAGTGCCATGTAAAGCAACCAAGGTAGCTAGGATGCTAGGATTTACATTTAATCACAAAAACAGGCTTCTCTCTGAGACTAATTAGACCAAGCAGAACGTTACAGTAGGCTGACTTAAAACTTTTTGTTCCTGGGACAGAAATAACTCTGAGAGGGCCATAATTTATAGTAGTAGAGGGGTCACTAGCTTCTGGTACATCTGCTACAGAGAACTGTAAGGCTAAGATTCAGAGGCAGGCAAAATATCTGTGCTTTTCAAAAGACAACAGCTCACAGATCCTAGCTCTTGCTATGTATTTTTCAGATGTACACAAGTTCTGATGTCTGCCAGCCAAAATTTTGGGGAAGTATGCTTCCAAGAGTGGGAGTCAGGAACAACTAACCCCTGCCTCTCACAGAAGCAGATACTTGATGACTGGCAGCATCCTGCCACTAGAAGAGTCAGAGCTTCTCTTCCCACAATGTTCAAAGAGCAAAATGAGTTCAAATGAGTTCAGGACCCTCACTGGCAGAGGAGCCAGATTTTATGCAGTTGTCAACACATTCAGCCTCCCATTTGAGGAGGCTGAACTACACACCCAGGATTCAAAATGACCTGCACAGATTGTGGGCCTCAGTCTTCCCACTTCTGACACATTGGGTTTTCTGCACTTACAGCTGGCTACCAAGTGGCTATGTGCAGGTGCACTACTCTGTTTAAATTCAGCTACTTTCTAGACCTTCAAAAAACGAACTGCAATTATTCTTCACTAATAATACATTTCCATTTATATAAATACAAATGCTACCCACAGATAAGGCTGATGGCATTAAGTTAGCACGTTAACGTGATCTTTAAGAGTTTCCAGTACTACTGAGCAACCAAATAATATTCTGTACATCAGTTCTAAGGACAGCAGTCTAGACTTTAACTTAAGTATTAACTCTCCTGCATGACTGGTAGCATACAACTTTCTTAAAGCCCCTTATCATTAACCAGAATTTTGTTCTTGAATCCTTTAAACAACGAAGACTTGATATCCCACATCGTGGGACTGCACCTATGCAGTGACACACATGACTCAAACCTGCGAGACAGAAATGAACATCATTTCTTTATGCGCTTGGACCTAGGTAAAAAAAGGCAAAACCCAGATCAAACAGGCCACAAAGGTAGGAAGGGCCAAAGTAATTCAACTGAGAGTGACCTACTCTATCAACCTAACCCAGCCACAGACTCTACCCAGGAGGTGGCAAGTTTCTCTGAGCAATACCAGGTTTACTCTTCTGAACCAAGAAGAAAGATTCTTGAACCCCTAACACCAGAGACCAACTTTCTTTAGCAACAACATTTTTTCACATTATAATTTCCACTTAGAAATACTTTTGAAGACACATTAAATTGCTTAGAAGCTCACTGTCCGACGTAACCTGAATTGATCTTTTATACCGGTTTTGAATTTTAATATCACACAGGGTAAGTACATAAAATTACTTACAAGCCTGTGTATGTCATATCAACTAAATAACTTATCAGCAAAGCCTGTGCTTATAAAAATAACATCCTAATTGAATATCCCAAATAAAAGCTAATTTCTAAGGAAAGTAACTTTACTTTTTGAGAAAAAAATCAACAATCAAATGCTATTCAAAAATGCTTAAAAGAGTTCATAATTTGTTAACTGAATTCTGAAGCCAAAATTATTTAAATTAAAAACACATTGAAAATAGGATTATTTCTTTTAAAGCAAATGAATAGCAAAAGCACAACTTTACAATACGAAAGAATGATGATAAAAAATTCTGCTGTATATTTCTCGACTAAAATTTTAGTTTAATTTTTGAAATAAAATCTTGAAAGCAAGCCAAGAGATCAATCTTCATTCCTGGAAGGGTTGTGGGTTTTTTTTTCTTGATTCCCTTGTTATCTTGAATTCCCTTTTCACTAAAATTGAATTCTCCTACTGCTACTCTTTTGATAAGATTGCCATCTGGTGGTGTTTGCTATTTTTAAAAATTGAGCTACTGAGAAGGAATTTCCTATTTTAAATTAATACTATACCTACTACTACTGTAGTAAGAAGAGCCTACTGTTAATGAACACACTAACTAATGGTTATTCTTCTCATGCATGGTCCACTTCTTGTGCAAATGCTTGTGATTATATTGTCCAAAAGGGATCCCACTCATGTAATTTCCAGGAAATACAACATGACTCATCAACCATTCCCGAGCTTTTCACCTTCACTTCAAGATAAACATTAGAATCATATTATAACAAAACTACAAAGGAATCCTACTCATCTTGAAAACTCCACCAAAAACAGGTTGAGTCCAAACTTGGCGTGTTCCAGTACAACCATGTAATAGATTAATACGCTCCAAGGCTTAACATAGCTCAGACAACCTAACTTCGTTACTTTTACTAAACAGCGAGATAGTGGTAATGCAGGGTTACAATAAAGGCATGTTTTTGCACCACTTAAAAACAACAGAAAGCAAAATCAAAAGCATTTCAATGTCATTCGTATCCTAACATCACATTCAAGAAGACAATTAAAAAGCAAAAAAAGAATGTTTTAGTATTAAAGGCTATGTTTCTTGTTTTCACCTAAAAAGCACACAAATACTTTAAAAGAAATTTAAAACTGAAGTGTGCACTTGTAAATTAATTATACTGTGCAGCAATACTTCCTGTGTTATTATTGTATTTTTTTTCTGTCACATAATTTACAAAGACAGGGAAAAGTACATTAAATACTCTTCTCAAAAACTTAACCTGCATTATTTTTTATAAGAATCTTACCTTTCAATGGCCAGTTCTTTGTTCGAGAGTTGCTGAACTGTAATCACCACTTTCTTCTCAATACCCTGTTTAAGCTTGAAATATAATTTCTCTCTATCCTTTGGCACAGGGCTAAAAGAATAAACAAGTTTCTTTAGCACGGGTATAGAATATTAACTCTTAAACACAAAAAGAGAGTAGCAGCCCACTTAAACTGTTAACGGCTCAACTCATTTGAGACACCTTCTCTTCCTTTATTGACACGCCAGTAAACTGGCACTGAAGAAAAACAGACTATAGGCTCACGCTTCATAGGCTAACTGCCTGGGGAATTTATCAGACAAAAGTATCCAAAAATGCATGGGGGATTTTGGGTTTTTAAATCACAGAAAATATGCTATATACTGGCTATGAAGCCAAAAACAAATACGGCATTTTCACAGAATTAACTCATAAATCAACTCTCTCTTCCATTCCAAAAAAAATCTTGCACTTAACTGTTATGCAAAGAACGCTTTTCTCCCCTGTCTCCTGTAATGCTTAGAGAAGTTTACATTTTCTAAATCTTTGATAAATTTGGAATTCTTTAGCTTATTTAAACAAAAAAACCCACCACACTAGACTGTATCAAGAAAATTGGTTTGACTAAAGTCTTTAACAGACTTCCTTCTATCTTTTCCATTTACACAGGCCTAACTTGAGCATCCCTATCAGAAATCACGTATTTAAAAGAAACTAACTTGAAATAGGTATCCTGACTTCTAATCTTTTTCCAGAAAAGTTAGAGAAGAAAATTGTAAAAGCAAAGCAACAGCTTCCTTTTTCTAACAAGTCTACTTACGAAAAGAGGCCAAATCAATTTTACTACAACAAGTAGCTGTGCATTCTGCAAGTAGCTATATGCTTTTTCAAAGAGATTTCTACTTTCCCCTTTCCATTCAGATTACCTAAAATTTCCTTTTCCATCATCTTCTTTGACTTCTAAGGAAACACTGAACATATACACATCACTATCTGGAGTAGGAAGAACAAAGTCCTTAACATGATCAGATGCTTGTTTGGAAGAACGTTTGAATGCTGTTGAGAAACTATATAAAATTCGGCTGACCTGCAGAAAAGCAAGAGAATTAATAGTTTTATCAAAAATAAAAGAGTATTTTTAATGTGGTATTGTGACGTGGTTTTGAAGGTCATAAAATTACTGCCACTTGCCTCTTATATTGAACAAAAAGCATGCCTCATATAACACAAAACATTCAGATCGGGTATTTAATAACCAAGCAAATTCAGTAACATCTCCTGTTTCCATTCATGTCACATTTACTGCCCATGCAATGCTCAGTAAGTTAATATATAACATTAGGAATACAACTCATTACAGGACCTGAATAATGTACTTTTCAGATTGTGTACTTAACACCACAGCTTACAGGTTCCTCTTGCAGATGTCAAAAAAAAAAGATTTCTTCTTTTTCAGCCTCTCCTTTTACACCCTAGAAAATCTTTTTCTCCCAAACTATCACACAGTTCTTCCTAAAATATCTAGGGCAGAGTACTGTAAAATGATTCTTTGTAACTCACAAGGTCTACGCTGCAACTTTAGTCTGAAATCTACCTAAATGAGGCCTGAAAAACAGAATACTTGCCCTAAACTTAGGCTTTCTAAATCTTCCCATTACAGTGCACTTTGGAATTTTATTGAAATACTATAAGAAAAAAAAATTGTATTAATATTCATGTACGACTAAGTGCACATTCTGTCAAACTTATTATGTTTGTGTTAACATATATTTTCAAAGCACTATATACCATTTCCACAGCTGGAATAACTTCTTAAAATACACCTTGTATCCTTTTTACCAGCCACTGTACAACATTTAATACTTACTGCCTCTTTAATCTCACAGGAGAAAACATGAATCTGGAACTCTTCTGTTCCACAGCTGCTTTCAGTAAATGCAAAACAGTCACTCTCTGAAGTCCCGTTTTGTCCACGCACACAAAACAACACCTTATAGATTGGAAAAGAGGCTATCTCCACATTGCTTGACTGATCTATTATTCTGCCAAGGAAAGGAACAGGAAAGATCAAAGAAAAAGGTCAGTAAAACAAGCAGACCTACCTAAAAGGCTCTTCTGCAATTAGATAAATAACTAAACCGTACTAAATTCAAGTATGCAAGATGGGTAATATGAACAGAAATGTCAGGCTTTCCAAACTTAAGATATAAATGTTTCTGGTTGAAACATTGGCTTAAGTTCTTTTATACTCCATAATATAGACCAATAGAGTACCTCTATATCATGCACTAACAATGACAATGATTGTTCTGCAATCGTTCATGAAAACCTCAAGAGTAGAAATGTAGAAACTACTACCATGAAAATGGGATTTTTATACAAAAATCAAAGAAAATTCAACATTATAAAAAAATTTAAATATCTGATTAAGAAAACATTAAGAAAACATTATTTATTCAGAACCTACAGGACTATACAGCTTAGCAAACGCTTGCTGCCGTGTGCAAGTGAATATTAATCACAGATCTAAGTGCTCATATAAAACTTTAAATTCCTCTCAAACTCAGAACTCAAAGAATATTTCAGAATCTTTAAAGATAAGGGGGGGGTGGTCTCAGAACAGACCACTAGACAGTGAGTTCTAAAGAATAATAGTTAGAAATACCCGATTCTCTGTCTTTTCGCTACTTGTCTATATGCACATTCACATCAACGGTGAATAAACATCAGTTACCTGGAATAGAATCCCAAGCCTATAACAACAGAAATAAAGGGCTGAGCTTCTGAAGGCAAGAAAAGCTCAGAGAGGATTCAGTATACTGTAATATTGGCGGGACAGGCTAAATGGCACCCCACACAACGAGTGTTCAGATACCAGGAATGGAAACACTCCTCAAAGATGACACTGGTGTCACTTGAACTTTGACGGACTATATTATGTCACACATGGATTCACCAGATTCTTAGGCAGTCCTTCAAAGGAACCTGCATTTTCACTTGCAAAACAACCTTCCTGAGTGGCCGCAATGGCCACAAAAATAGGTACAGCACACCTAACATCTCATGTCTACGTGACGGACGCCGTCATCAAAGTATGCAGTGAAATTTCCTAATTCAAATTAAATATTGCGGTAATGTCAACCAAAATCTTAAATTGGGTTCAAAGAGCAAAATGGAAGAAAATAATACATGTGCTTGAAGGTCCTTCTGTCTTTCTGTGCATAACAATGGTCAATATCTAGGCGGAGCACAGGAAAGGAAGGAAATTAACTATATCCTTCAGATATCTTGGTATCAGAGTTTAAAAACGAAAATCTTGAGTATCGAGATGCTCCCTACTTCTGGATGTAAGACTGCTGCTACAGGTGTGCCTTTCATGCACCCTGCTTAAGAACTCTTGAGTCTCTTATCATTAATTAAAAGACCCTTCTCACGTGGGGCAAGTAAATGTTTTCTAGTATCTAGAGACTATCAGCATACGCATTGTGAGGCAGACAGAGGTGAGACTCTGCTTTAGAAAAGCAATGTCTGGAAATAGAGACGAGCACCTCAAGTCTAAAACTGAAGTCTAAAACTTTTTAAAACTTTAAAACTTAAACTTCTTCAGCTAACCCAAGGCCAGCAGGACGACTACTGTCTCAACATGTTTACCTTGGAGGTGATTACAGACTAGGGAGGTTGGGAGAAACATGCATTATCAGCTCTCTCTTTCCAGCATATCTCTTATTACCACATTGAACAGACACATATGTAGAAAGATACACTTTTGTTGATGCTGTATGGCAACCGCTACCACCAACTATGTACCACATGCTAAATCTGAGCATGCATTTTGTTGCTTCAGAGGAATTTCTCCAAAATAACTGTCCTCAGCAAGAACTTCAGGCATAAATCCAGCAATTCTACTTCCCTGTGTGAGTAACAAAGTCAGAATCCACCTTTTATGTGCCTGTGCAAGTAACAAAAGAAACATTGGTATGTTACCTTACAGAGCCTTCTGGAATGTTTGGAACATATAGCGTTACAGGTAAAGGGGCATGACTTGAGGATTTCAGGTTTGCCATGGCACGTAGAGCTTCTGGTTCATTTCGAGGGGCAGACACCTTTGTGCAACCTAAATAAGTCAGTTTGTTAAACAATACGCTGTCCTCTTCTAGGGGTTCACTGGGAGAACATGGCCTCGGTGCAGAGATTTCTGTAAACGAAGAAACCACTTTTTTAACCATTTGCTTTTATTTTTACACATTGTTTCCTGAATGAGTTCCATAGCAAAAATCTCCCACTTTTTCTGAGAATGGACATGGGAGACAAAAGTCCAGCTCCAACAGTAAGATACCCATTTGGCAGCTTAATGTTAAGTGTATTCTATTTTGATGCATGTTTCCAAGTACAGCATAGAGACAACTTGGCTTTTGATTCTTTGTAACAGTGCTAGAACACAATTTTTCTTTAAGCTCCATTGCCCAGATGTTCTTTTCTTTAGTTTGCCTATACCTCCTTCCAATTCTTACTCATTATTTTGCATAAAGATGCCTCTAATTCTCTTCTCTCCCATGTCTTTGCATCTCGTGTAGCATTATTAAATGTGGTTCATGTTCCTGGGATAGCCATATTAACTGCATGAAACCATCAGGGAGCTGGAGAGAAGAAAAAGATATCTGTTTGTTCCTCTACTCAGCAGAGCAGAGAAGCGTTCTTTTTCCCACTATCACACTACTTTGGACAGGGGCAATCTTAAGTAAGCTTTTGGGAGTTTTGCTGTTATTGTTGTTTTCTGGTGTTTTTTTAAAGCATTTTGACATTTGAGAAAGAAGAGAAGAGGTGGAAGAAAAATTCATTAAGTATAAAATCAGAGTGATCTAGATAGGAAAAGACCTCTAGAGGTCATCTAGCTTTAACTCATGCTCAAAGACAGGTAAGGTTAGATCTGGGCTAGTTTCAAAACCGGATCAGGTTACTGAGGGCCCTGTCCAGCTGAGGTTTGTATCTCCAAAGACAGATATTCCAAACCTTTCTAAATAATCTGCCCTGTTATTTCTATTTCTTATTACTATAGCTAATATTTTCCACAATACTTAAATCATAAAGGTTGCAAAATCAAATTATTC